ACTATATTGGCCAGGCTGGTCTTGAACTCCTGACCTCGTGATCCACCCGCCTCGGCCTCCCAAAGTGCTGGGATTACAGGCGTGAGCTACCATGCCCAGCCCATGTCCCTCTCTCTCTTTTTTTTTGGCTACCAAATATCCTAGTTTACTGAGTACGTGTCTTTTTAATACTCTGTATAATGAGGTGGGAAGTACACATTTAGCCCTTCTGTGCATACAAAAGAAGTATGATTGTTGTCTCCAAGAGAAACAGTTTTGTGATAGTTTGAGCTGCAAGTTGAACTACTGCTTTTTCATGGAGCACTATATTTAATCGAAAGAACAAGTGGAGGTGGCTGCACAGTCATGGCGGAGGTGACCAAAGCCACATAATGTCCGTAGTTCATGCATCCATCCATGCCAAATGGATGGTGGAGAAGGTGATTGGGACAAAAGTGCAAAAGACTGCTAAAGTGAGAGTGACCAGGCTTGTTCTGGATGCCTATTTATTAGAGTATTATAATAAGCGGAAAACCTACTTTGCTCGTGATGCCCTTCAGCAGTGCACAGTTGGGGATATTGTGCTTCTCAGAGCTTTACCTGTTCCACAAACAAAGCATGTGAAACATGAACTGGCTGAGATTGTTTTCAAAGTTGGAAAAATCATAGATCCAGTGACAGGAAAGCCCTGTGCAGGAATTACCTACCTGGAGAGTCCATTGAGTTCGGAGGCCACCCAGTTAAGCAAAAATCTGGAAGAACTTAATATCTCTTCAGCACAGTGGAGGGAGAGTGGAAGAAGGAGCTAAAGGGAAAGATTGACATGTTTATGTTATGGAAAAAGAATTTTTTCTAAGTTTCATCGCAAACTGTGTCCAGTTTGTGGTGTTTATGAAATAGCTAAAAGCAAATGAAGGGCATATTATCGTTTTTCATTTAAAAAAAAAAAGAAAGAAGAACAACTGACCAACTATGCCTGCCAATGTATAAACAAAGTGAGCCAGCTACTTCAAGGGAAACCACTAACAGTATTTGCTGCCAATGATAATATTTGAGCTTTGAAGAGAAAATTAGAATTGTTTGTTTGTTTGTTTTTTGTTGTTTTTTTGTTTTGTTTTGTTTTTGAGATGGAGTCTTGCTCTGTCACCCAGGCTGGAGTGCAGTGGCACAATCTCAGCTCACTGTAAGCTCCGCCTCCCAGGTTCATGCCATTCTTCTGACTCAGGCTCCCGAGTAGCTGGGACTACAGGCGCCCGCCACCATGTCCAGCTAATTTTGTATTTTTAGTGGAGACGGGGTTTCACTGTGTTAGCCAGGATGGTCTCGATCTCCTGACCTCGTGATCCACCTGCCTCGGCCTCCCAAAGTGCTGGGAGTACAGGCTTGAACCACCACGCCTGGCCAAAAATTAGAATTTTATAAAACTTGTATCTGTCATCATCAGCTTCCCAGCTTTCCAATATTTAAGAATTTTTCTGATGAGATTGTTAGTAATATTAACAAATGTGATTTTAAAATATTGTATAATGAGTCAGTGTTAGGAAGATCTGCGTAACTCTGTGAACCAATATTTTACATATTATTAGTATACCAAGTTGCAAGGTCATGCATGGGGAAAATGTCCATTCAAAGTGCAAGTATTGTAACAAAGTACAAAATGTTCATTGATATAATTTCCGATTCTACATTGCAACAAACCTTTAACAAACTACCACTTGTTGAATTTTGGTATAGTATCAAAGAATATCTAAAATTATCTGAAAAGGTTATTAAAAGCTCTCTTACCAACTACGTATCTATGTGAAGTCACATTTTTATGATAAAATTAAACCAAAATAATATATCACAGTAATGGAAAAATCAAGCTGTTTTCTGTTAAGCCAGTCACTAAAGAGACTTCAAAAAGGTGAAACAATGGCATTCATCTCACTAAACTTTTTGTTTTGAAAATGTAGTTGGCCTGGCATAATGGCTCACGCATGTAATCCCAGCACTTGGGAGGTCAAGGCAGGCAGATCACCTGAGGTCAGGAGTTTGAGACTAGCCTGACCAACATGGAGAAACCCCGTCTCTACTACAAAGACAAAATCAGCTGGGTGTGGTGGCGCATGCCTGTAAATTCCAGTTACTTGGAGGCTGAGACAGAAGAATCACTTGAATCCAAGGGGCAGAGGTCTCAGTGAACTAAGATCGTGCCGTTGCACTCCACCCTGGGCAACAAGAGCGAAACTCCATCTCAAAAAAAAAAAAAAAAAAGAATTTTTGATATGGTAAATATTGATAAATACAATCCATATAAACAAAAGCTTTCTGGGGTCCTCAGTAATTTTTAAGTATAAAGAGTCCAGAGATGAAAAAATTTGAGAGTTATTGCCCTCAGGGAATAATTTAAAGTGAGTTTAAATTGAAGCAATCTCTCAACTACTTTCCACAATAGAAGAGAAAGCCCTCTAGTTCCTTGAAAAACATTCGCTAGTTTAAACATAAGGATATGAAACGGATGGCAGATATGGGGCTGACTGCTGTTCTTACTTATAATTTCTTATTTATAATTAGTTCTTACCTCAAAACCATGCTGTAATTTCCAAAGCTTGGTTGAGGTAATACCAAAGAGAGAATATCTCTATGTTTCCATAGAGGGGTAGTCAGACTTCAGGCCTCCTGTGGCCAGATCAATCAGTTCATGGCAAGGCAAAGATAGGCTGGTTTTAGGATATGAGTCCCTTTTTTTTTTTTTTTCTCAGGGTCTAAGCAGAACTCCTTCTGGAAAAAACGACAAGTCCTAATCACTGACTGCTGTATCTGCAACACCAAGCATCTAAGACACTGCTTGGCATATATTAGGCACTCAATAGATATTGTTGAAGTCATTCCTCCATGGCACATACCGGTAGTCCTAGCTACTTGGGAAGCTGAGGCAAGAGGATCATTGAACCCAGGAGTTTGAGTCCAGCCTGGGCAGCATAAGCTGACCTCATTTCTAAAAATAAATGAATAAATATTGTTGAATGAAGTCAAGCTCCTTTATTTTTATTACAGAAATCATACTCTACCTTTTAGCTGGCAGGGAGGTAAAGCAACTCAAGATTTAAGAGATGAATCAGACCTGGCACAGTGGCTCACGCCTGTAATCCTACCACTTTGGGAGGCCGAGGCAGGCAGATCACTAGGTCAGGAGTTCAAGACCATCCTGGCCAATCTGACGAAACCCCATCCCTACTAAAAATACAAAAATTACCCAGGCATGGTGCCGCATGCCTGTAGTCCCAGCTACTCGGGAGGCTGAGGCAGGAGAATCGCTTGAACCCAGGAGGCAGAGGTTGCAGTAAGCCGAGATCGTGCCTCTGAACTTCAGCCTGGTGACAGAGTAAGACTCCGTCTCAAAAAAAAATTATGAAATTGCAGGAATGCATGGGAAAAAGAGAATGGCCATTGGTCCTGTTATCTAGTGCAACTTGATAAACCACTCCAAAACATAGAGCTTAGAACAGCAATTATTTTATTATCTATTCGTCATTTTTTAATATTTATTTCATTTACTTAGAGATCCCATCTCTTTGTTACCCAGGTTGAAGTGCAGTGATACCATCTTGGCTCACTGCTACCTCTGCCTCTTGGGATCCAGAGATCCTCCTGCCTTCCAAGTAGCTGGGACCCCACAATGCGCCACCACACCTGGCTAATTTTTGTATTTTTAGTAGAGAGGGTGTTTCACTATGTTGCCCAGGCTGGTCTCGAACTCCTGGGCCCAAGGGATCCATCCGCCTCGCTTCCCAAAGTGCTGGGATTATAAGCCTGAGCCACCGCACCTGGCCAATTACTGTTTTGTTAAAAACAGGGTCTTGGCTTTGCAGAAGCAGCCGCCGCCAGGAGCTCTGTACTATCAGCCATGGTTAACCCCACCGTGTTCCACATCGCCCACGGCAAGCCCTTGGGCCATGTCTCCTTCGAGCCATTTGCAGACAAGGTTCCAAAGACAGCAGAAAACTTTCGTGCTCTGAGCAATGTAGAGAAAAGATGTGGTTATAAATGTTCCTGCTTTCACAGAATTATTTCAGGGTTTATGTGTCAGGGTTGTGACCTCACACGCCAAAATAATGGTACTGGTGGCAAGTCTACCTACGGGGAGAAATTTGATGACTAGAGCTTCGTCCTAAAGCATACAGCTTCTGGCATCTTGTCCATGGCAAATGCTGGACCCAACACAAACAGTTCCCAGTTTTTCAACTGCACTGCCGAGACTGAGTGGTTGGATGGCAAGCATGTGGTCTTTGGCAAGGTGAAAGAAGACATGAATATTGTGGAGGCCATGGGGCACTTTGGGTCCGGGAATGGCAAGACCAGCAAGAAGATCACCATTGCTGACTGTGGACAACTCTAACAAGTTTGGCTTGTGTTTTATCTTAACCGCTAGACCATTCCTTTTGTAGCTCAGGAGAGCACCCCCTTCACCTCATTTGCTTGCAGTATTTTTTTTTTGAGACGGAGTTTCGCCCTGTCGCCCTTTCCCAGGCTGGAGTGCAGTGGCACGATCTCGGTTCACTGTAACCTCCACCTCCCGGGTTCAAGCAATTCTCTTTCCTCGGCCTCCCGAGTTGCTGGGACTACAGGCGCATGCTGCCACGCCTGGCTAAATTTTTTTTTTTTTTTTTTTTTTTTTTTTTAGTGGAGATGGGGTTTCATCATGTTGCCCAGGCTGATCTTGAACTCCTGAGCTCAGGCAATCCGCCCACCTCGGCCTCCCAAAGTGCTAGGATTACAGACGTGAGCCACCACACCCGGCCTGCTCGCAGTATCTTATCTTTGTGCTCTCGCTGCAGTTCCCTTTGGGTTCCACGTTTTCCTTGTTCCTTTCCATGCCTAACTGGATTGCAGAGTTCAGTTTATGATTATGAAATAAAAACTAAATTAAACAAACAAAAAAAAACCCAGCGTCTGTCTCTGTCATCTAGGCAGGAGGAGTGCAGTGGCCCGATCATAGTTCCCTGCAGCCTCGAACTCCTGGGCTCAAGCGATTCTCCCACCTCAGCCTCCCGAGCAGCGGGGACTACAGGCACACACTACCCAGCTAATTTTTATTTTTATAGAGACTGGAGTCTCTCTCGCACAGGCTGGTCTTGAACTCCCGGTTTCAAGCAGTCCTCTCACCTCGGCTTCCCAAATTGCGGAGATTACAGGCATGAGCCACCATGCCCAGCCGCCCCCAGTTTTGATGACTAAAGTTAATGTGAGTGGCCTTGTTATACGTCTCACAAATAGGAAGCCCTGGCAACCCCTGCAGGAGCATTCGGTGATTTTTTTTCACTAGCTAGCCAAAATTGCGGATCCCAATGAGCTTTCTTTCACTGAATGTACTCGGAGCCAAGTCCTAGACTTACTCCCTGAGGAAAAAGGCTGAGTTGCTCCGTCTGGGTTCCTGGCACCCTGCGCTGGAATACTCAAAAGGCGTTGGTAATGTGGGACAAGTGTCGAATACTCCTCGGTGGCCCCGCCCCCTCCGGCCCCGCCCCCTCCTCTCTGCGGCGATTGCGTCCCCTCCGTCATCCATCGCTCGGCGCTCGTCCCTTCTCCGTGGGTCTGCTCAGAGCGTTCCATCGAGTTTCTCGGCCATCGCGCGCCTGCGCCATTGGGCTGTCAGTCAGAGGCGGCGTGGAGAGCGCTGGGAGCGGTTGTGGCGTGCGGGGAGCTGAGGTATAGCTGTGACTTCTGCCCTGCCAGGCCGCGCACGAGCTGGCTGACCCGGGTGAGCAGCGCGGTGGGGCCACTCATCTGAGGGAGGCGGGCATGTCGAACTGGGCCGAGGTGGACCCCAAGGGGTAGGAGGGGGTGCTGAGCCCCGAAGTTGCCAGCTCGACTCCCTGCTCGACCCGACCGTGTAGCTGTGTCCGAAGTAGAAGGGAGGTTGGGGGAGAATCCGAGCCAACTACCTTATGCA